AGACAGCAGGTCCTCTGGTGAATCTCCAAGAGTGGGTTCTTGGGCTGGGCTCTTGGTGGCTCAGTCCCCGTGGTGTGTGCCTGGGCCACCACCTTCTACTGCAGGCGCTCTTGGTGGCCGTGACCCTAGAGGGACATGGGGTGAGGTGCTGAGTCAAACCACCCCTGCATGCGGCACTGTAATCAGAACTGTTCTCTCCTCTTGCTCTGCCTCCCGCCCTGTCTGCTGCCGGCCCCTGTCTGCAACCACCCACTCGCTGCATGGCAGAAGTCCTCCAGCTCCGCGTCCTCCGAGGCCTCGGAAACATGCCAGTCTGTTAGCGAGTGCAGCTCCCCCACCTCGGTCAGTGCCCCCAGCCCCGTCCCAGGAAAATCACAGGCTGTTCAAGCTGTGCCCTCCCAATATGGGGTCAGCACCCCAAAGAGGCTCAGGTTCAGCCAGAGGACCCCCCAGCCACTCCCTACACAGCCACGTCTCTCCCTCCTGGGGCTCCCTGCTCTGCCCCTGGGGCTGGTGGACAGCAGCCATACCCACCCTCCAGGCTCTGGCCTGGGCCATTGCGCTGAAGGCCCCTCACAGACCTGGACATCCCAGCCTCAACCCCAGTGAAGGGCCCCATTGGCTGTGGGCAGCAAGGCCAAGAGTCCCCCTGACCTGCCTGCCACACCCTGCAGGACTGGACCAAGGCTGGCCCCCACGAGCAGCCCTCAGGCACCACGCTGCAGCGGAGGAAGGACCGAGTGGAGCTTCTCCGAGACAATGAGCCAGGCCCGGCTAGTGGAGGCACCCTGGGCCCCAGTGGAGAAGAGGTGCCACGACCCCGGATGTCCCCTGCCACCATCGCAGCCAAGGTAGGCGGGCAGCTCCCCAGGCGGCCTAGCCAGGACCCCCTGAACTCCCAGCTCAATGCCAGGAGGCCCAGCAAGGGGTCTCCAGGGCCAGCTTCAGCCGCCTCAGTGGGCTGCTTGGAGTCCAGGCAGAGGGTAGAAAGGAAGAGAGACGTCAATTTGCAATTTTACCTCCCCCAGCATGGCGAGGAGGTGTCCCCGGCGGCCAGCGACCTGGCCATGGTGCTGACCCGCGGCCTGAGCCTGGAGCACCAGAAGAGCAGCAGGGATTCGCTGCAGTACTCGAGCGGCTACAGCACRCAGACCACCACGCCCTCGTGCTCCGAGGACACCATCCCCTCCCAAGGTGGGTCTGCAGGAGGCCATCCCCGGCCGAAAGTGTGTGTGAAGCCTTCACAGCCTGTGGCCCCACCCCACAGGGACAGCTGGGACCGGGCCGAACACGAGGGCCCCGTTCTTCCCTCTCCGTGTCCATCCTGGGTGGGCTGGGGCTCMGGGGATACCTGGACCCTAGGCTCACTGCATCTTGTGTCCCCAGGCTCYGACTATGACTGCTACTCTGTGAATGGGGACGCGGACAGCGAGGGCCCCCCTGAGTTTGACAAGTCGTCCACCATCCCGCGCAACAGCAACATCGCCCAGAACTACCGCCGCCTGATCCAGACCAAGCGCCCAGCCTCCACCGCGGGGCTGCCCACCGCCGGGCTGCCCACAGCCACGGGCCTGCCCTCCGGCGCCCCACCCGGCGTGGCCACCATCCGCCGCACACCCTCCACCAAGCCCACTGTACGCCGTGCCCTGTCTAGCGCCGGCCCCATCCCCATCCGGCCACCCATCGTCCCTGTGAAGACACCCACGGTGCCCGACTCCCCTGGCTACGTGGGACCCACGCGGGCAGGCAGCGAGGAGTGTGTCTTCTACACGGATGAGGCGGCCTCGCCCCTGGCACCGGACCTCGCCAAGGCCTCCCCCAAGAGGCTCAGCCTGCCCAACACAGCCTGGGGCAGCCCGTCGCCGGAGGTGGCCAGCTACTCCACAGCGGGGGCCGGGCTGGCGGCTGAGGATGACGAGGAGCAGCAGCTGGCCGCCAACCGGCACAGCCTGGTGGAGAAGCTTGGGGAGCTGGTGGCAGGTGCCCACGCCCTGGGCGAGGGCCAGTTCCCCTTCCCCACCGGCCTGTCTGCCACCCCAGCAGAGGAGACGCCTACCCCACCCCCTGCTGCCACCAGCGACCCCCCAGCCGAAGACATGCTGGTGGCCATTCGACGCGGGGTCCGGCTCCGCAGGACCGTCACCAATGACAGGTCTGCGCCCCGCATCTTATGATGGCGCCACCCTCCCCACCCTGTCTGGCCCCAGCACAAGCAGGTGGCCTGGTCTGTGAGCAGCCGCCACTCAGCACAGGCACAGTCAGGAGAAAGAACAGCGCCAGGGACAAAGCCAAGCCACTTTATGGAAGAGACACCCAGGCTGGACCACAGCGTTTAACGGGATGTGACTTCTTTAACAAACCTCGCGGGACAGGTGGAGCCTGCAGGCCTCGAACTGGTTTTGGAGCCTGTTTTCTACTTCCCTTGCCCACTCGGTCCCTCCTCTCAGGCCCTGCCTTTTCCAAACCCTCAGAGCCCAGCCTGCCTCGTGCCACCCTGGCCCACCTGGCCTGGGGTCCAGAGCTGCTCCCCAGGTCACGGTGCCCTGGCTCACTCTGGAATGCCGGCCCTTCCTGTCCCTTCATGAGCCCCCTACACCTCTCCCCTCTACCTCTGCCTCTTCCAGGTCCCTCTCCACCTGGGTGGCAGGGTGGCTGTGGAGGGGCCAGTGTCCAATCAGCGGGGGTATCTTAATTTGTGGCTAGAATTAGGGGAGCAGGTTGGAGTTTGGAGACCAGGCCAACCCATGGGGAAGGGAGTCCAAGTGGAGTCACGGGGAGGAAGGACATGGAGTGGGCCTGCATGTGGAAGGCTCAGGGGACCCTCCCACCTCCTCTCCCATGTGAGGGGTGGCAGGAAGGGGACCCACTAGGGCAGCAGGAAAAGGAAGGCAGAGGGCCAGGGGGTTGCCTGGCCAGCCACACAGGAGCTGCCTCAGATACCCCGTTCTCATCTGGCACATCAAGACTTTTAACTAGAGGCACTTTGGGGTCACAGTTGCAGCCTCCTTTGGGGTTGGGGGCTGGAGCAGTAGACGGTATGGAGGGTTATTTTATAAATACAATAAATTGGAGCTGACCCCAGACAAGGATTGTGTGGGGGGCGAGCTGGTGGTACAGGGTGTGTGTCTTCGAGTGCCTGAGAGGGGGAGGTCACAGGGTGGCCTGATGGGCCTATGGCAGGAGAAGGGCAGAATCAACTCCCCTGAAGCCGGGGGAAGCTGTTCTCTCGAGTGTAGCCAAAATGAGCCTGGAGAGGGCAGGGCCAGGGTGTCTCTGGGCCTGTCTGCTGGGGTTTAAGGGAGCTGCAGGCCTGGGGTGGGGGAGCAGGTGCAGGGTGATGGGCTGTGACTCTCTGTTGCCAGCGGAGATGCCCAGGACGGGCCTGGGCTGGCAGCAGGGCTAGGCGGAGGAGTGGGGCACCCTCCTCTGTGAGGCCAAGTCTGAGCGGGTAAAAGCACGTGAGCCTAGGGCAAGTGGAGGGAATCAGGGTGGACGGTGGGTGGTAAAGAGCAGCGGAGCCCCGAGGGGGGCATCTCGCTGGGCGTCAGGAGAGCACTTTGCCTTGGTGTGGATGGAACGGTGTCGGGGCTGGTCCAGGCCTGAGCTCCTGGGAGTTCTTGGGCCGTGAACTGGGATCTCAGCAGGGTTGACCCCGTGTGAGTGAGTCCCGCTGGGCTCCCTGGGGACTGCTGGAGAAGGGTCCCTGCAGGTCCCTAGATCTGAGACCTGCCTAGCGGAGCCCTTGGCCCACTGAGCTCCCAGCCGTGGGAACCCAGAGAGCAGGTGATGAGTGTGGGGTCCCTGGGGTGGAGTTCCTGCTGCACCTTCSCGCTCAGGGCTGCGTCGGGTTTGCCCAGGTGACCTGATGGGGTGGGAAGCGGCATGTGTGAGGGGACAGTGAGGAGCAGCAGGAGGGCAGGCATGGCCTCTGCGCCAGGAGTGTGGCTGGTCACAGGGGTCCCTGGAGGAAGAGCTCACCGCCTCCTGGGGGCTCCACGGGCCCTGATGGGCAGTGGGGGCTGGGGCTTCCCAGGAGAAGGGGGGGCACTGCCTCCCCTCCCCTGAGCCCCCAGGGCTGTACATACTCCGTCCCCTCGTCTGTTCCCTGACCACCCCCTGCTTCCCTCGTCATTTAGCGACCACCTCATAGCGCCCCCCCCCTTCCGGGATCCGAGCCAACAATCCCGCGTCATAAACTTTGGTTTGGGGGGGGGCTTCTTTACATTTGTTTATTTTTCATTTTGTACAGAGAACTGTTCTTTTCAAAAGCGTCTTTTGACTGCAGTAACTTTTCTGGTGCTGTTAACTTGTTCCTTTTTTTAATTTATTTTCCCTCCCCAAGGCCCCCCCTACCCCGTTCCTGTTCACCCTTCCCCACACACACACCCCTCGCCACCCCTTCATCCCCCCTGAACCGTCTCGTTCCTTTTCTTTCCGTTGGCTTTTGGATAAATCCTCCTCTCCTCCTGCCCCCTCCACTCCATCCGCCCCTTGATTTAAATAGTCACTGCTACAAGTAACAAATGCACTGTGAGGATCCAGTATTAATAAAGTYGTACTGTAATTAACACCCCTGCCTCTGCCTGGATTCCCTGGGCTGCAGCGGCTCACCCGCCTGCCCCTCCTGCCCCTGCAGCCTGACCTTGATCACCCCAGGCCCCAGGGGCTGCGAGCCACGGGGGTCTCCCTGAGGCAGGGGCAGGGATGGCTGAGGCTTGAACTTGGCCTGGGATCTTGGAGGTGCCTCACTCTGCCCCTGCTGGGAGCAGCCCAAGGGAAGGAAGAAGGAAAGATGGCCAGGGTCAGACACTCCTCAGGGCCACCGAGGCGCCACAGGCTAGGAAAGGGCTGGAAGGAAGTCCGTCCTCAGCTGCAGCCCCTCTGCCGCAGCCTGGTGGGCCCAGCCCTCCTCCGCCTCCTGCACTAGGCGGGCCCCCAGCCCCTCAGGCTCACTCTCCCAGATGAACACAAAACGCAACAAAACCAAACAAAATGGGCATTTAATAGAAAAAAAGGATCTGGAAGAGCATCCACTGTGGCAAGATGTGGCATGTGGCTCTGCCCTTGGACAGCCCTCCCCATCAGTCCAGCTGGAAAGCCTCCGTGTGGGTCCCAGAATCCCACGTGGGCCCCGGCCCTGCCCAGGGATGCTCTGGCTGCTATGGCCCCAGGAGACTGCAGCACCGCCTGCAGGCAGCGGAGGCCAAGGGGGTGGCACCGGGTCTCCCTGACCCCCACCCCTCCAAGTGAGAGCAAGTAAGGTATGAAAGGTGGGAAGCTGAGCCCCACGGTGGCACAGAATCCCCCGGAGGGAAAAACACCTTCCCCAAGGGCCTCTCCCAAGGCGGGGACCCCCATCACACAGCAAAGTCTCGGGCCTAGTCCAGCTCCCGGAAGTCCTCAGGTGTCCCCACCCAGGGTCAGCACCCAGGCCCATCAGGGCAAGGGGTCCTCGCCCTGTGCCCTGACCTGGGGTCCAGTGCTTGAGCCAGGGGAGTGGGGCAGGGAGGTGGGGGTCTGCTGGGGAGGGGGGTACAGCCGGGCGGCCTCACACTGCCAGGCATGGGGCTGAGGACTTGGCACCTCGCACTCCTGCCATTTCAGGATGGAGCTGTGTTTACCTGTAAGGGACAGAAAAGGAAAAGAGGGAAATTGCAGGACACATCAAGACCTCCCTCCCCTCAAGCTAAGGGCCCATCTGGGTTTCCAAAAGTGACCCGTCACTCTCGGGAGCAGAGGGCATGCCCGGGAGGGTGCCAACTCTTCCTGCTGACCCCGACGCGGATGCTTGGCCTCTCGTCCCTCAGCCCCACGCACAGGGAGCTCCTTACAGCAAGAGCAGTACAGCAGCTCCATGACCCGGAAGCAGTTGTCCATCAGGGCTTTGGGCCGCACCAGCTTCAGGCTCCGACCTGGCACATTCAGGAGGGACAACACCTCTTCCACCTTGGGGCTGATCTCCACAACCTGGAGGGAGGAACCGGTCAGAACCATGACAGATGGGGACACAATGCACAAGAGAACCGTGGGGGCTACCTGACTCGGTGCCACCCCAAATCACGAAAGGCAGGCAAGACGTTCTGGGACCAGGAACCTGTGCGTTATGTCTCACCTTCTTCCCGCCAGTACAGAGAGGGTCCCAGCTCTCACCTCTTACACAAGCACAGCACAGAGGCTCCTGTTTCTCCATCATGGGAAAARCGAACACAGGGCCCAGGCCAGCACAGGGAGGAAGGAAGCCGCTGATCTAGACCATGCCTGGCTGCCCGCCCGCCCCCAAGCTGGGAAAGCTGCCCTCCATCAACTGCAAGAACAAGAGAAAGCCCTCACGGGAGACACGGAGGTGAAAGTCACAGACAGGGCCGGGTGTCAGACTCCAAACTCAGCTTGCCTTCATGAGGCTTAACACGCGGGCAACATGAGGGGTAGCCGAAGTCCCTGAAGAGGGACCACAGCCATTGTAGAGGCATCGAGGAAAAGGTGGGGCCTGAGCTGGGGGCAGCAGCAGCCCACGCAAAATCTCTGAACTGCATTATGTCTCCCAGCACCCCATATCCCAGTCCTACCCTCAGTATCTGGGACTGTGACTCTATTTCTAAATGGGGATATAATTGAGGATCTGGAAGAAGGACATCATCCCAGATTTGGGGAGGGCCCTAGATCCAGTGACAGGTGTCCACATGAGAGAAAGATCACAGAGACAGGTGACCACGTGGCAGAGGCCACCAAAGACTGAGACAGAGGTTGGGTGATGTGGCTGGAAGCAAGAGAAGACCCTCCCTAGAGCCTCCAGAGGGAGTGTCGCCCTGCCGACCCCTGGATCCGGGACTTCTGGCCTCCAGAACTATGAAAGAATAGATTTCTGCTTCAAGGCATGCGTTTTGAACTAATTTGTTACAGCAGTCCTGGAAAACTGGTAGACAGAGGTGGAGTGAGAATGAATCTGGGGAGAACCCAGCCGCCTAGTAGATGTGTCCCCTTGCCCTGGGGAGAGTACACAGCCCCGGGAGCCCCTGGGCCATCTAGAGAAGCTCAAAGTTGAGGACAGCTGGACAGATGTCACCTTCCTAAAGCCTCTTACAGGAAAAGAATCCAGAAGGTCTTCAAAAAGCTCCACCTAGAGACACCAGATGACTCCCAGGTGTCAACCTCAAAGAATTGAAAACAACGACTCAGACACTTGTACACCCATGTTCACAGAAGCATTCTTCATAAGAGCCAAAAGGTGGAAACAGCCCAAGACAGATGGAGGCACAGATATAATTATCTGCACAAAATGGAATATCATTCAGCCATGAAAAGAAAGGGTCTGCTATGGCATGGATGGACTTTGGAAAACATTATGCAGCCAGCTGCGGTGACACACGCCTGTAGTCCCAGCAATTCGGGAGGCTGCGGCAGAAGGATCTGAAGTTCAAAGCCAGTCTCAGCAACTTAGGGAGGCCCTCAGCAAATTAGTGATACCCTGTCTCAAAATTTAAAAAAATTAAAATGGGCTGGAAAGGTGGCTTAGTGGTAAAGCGCCCCCAGATTCAATCCCAGTACTGGGGTTCGGGAGAAAGTAGGATAGAAACAACTCAGAGCCGGGGGTGGGGGGAGGCCACGCCTGTAATCTCAGCAGCTTCAGAATCTGAGGCAGGAGGATTGTGAGTTCAAAGCCGACCTCAGCAATTTGGCGACGCACTAAGCAACTCAGTGAGACCCTGTCTCTAAATAAAATATGAAAAAGGGCTGGGGGTGTGGCTCAGTGGTTGAGTGACCTTGGGTTCAATCCCCAGGTTCAAAAAAAAAAAAACAATGTAGAACCCAGACTTCAGGTACCTCCAAATAGAGAACGAGGTAGAATAGGATCAGCTTTACAGCCAGATACAATTTCAGGTTCCTCCCAATCCCTCTCCTTTCCAAGTGATGAATCCAGATGGACAGAATGCCTTTATTTTACTTTTTTAATGTGGTGCCGAGGATTGAACCCAGTGCCTCACRCATGCTAGGCAAGTGCTCTACCACTGAGCTACAACCCCAGCCCCCAAGTGATGAATCTAAAGCCCAGAGGTGAACAACCTGTTCAAGGCTGCTGGGGTCCCACCCCCAGATGGGATCTCCTACATTACAGGACCACTGGGAGTTTTAAAAGCTAAGAAAATCTGAAAGGTGGCTTTCCCTAAGTTAAGTCCACCTTAAAGGCAAGGTCCTAGCCTACCAGCAGAATTGGAGAAAAGAGAGACTGAAAATCTGGCTGCAGGGACGGCGGTTTTCATCAGGAGGGGCCAAGAAAGGTGGGCGGGGTCCATCAGCCTCCAATCAGAAATGCTTCCCAGAAAAAAATGAGGGCAGTCCCCAGGTCAGCTCATCTTGCCCGAGGACACCCATCTGGCCCATGGGCACAAAACAGCCACCAAGGAAATGGCTGGACCTCCTGACCTCCTTCCAGCCCTGTCCCAGGACCAGTTCCAGGCAGCTGCAAAAACAATGGCTGGTCCCTAGCCCTTTCATCAACGGAAGCTCACAGTTGGTGTGGGATGTTCTGGCCCTGGACGGGGCCTCCTGGGCAGATGAGTCCAGGCAGCTGGCTGAGCCGGGTGGCAGGTGCATCCTGAGGGGCAGGTGTGCTCTGGGGCCTGAGGACGGCTGGGGGAGGGATCCCCAGCACATGCACGGCCTGCGTGGCTCCAGGATGATCCCCTGGCCTCCCTCTTTCAGAGGGCTCATGCGTTATAGAGGACATCCCCCTGAGGCCTCAACCCTGCCGAGCGAGAAGGAGTCTCTTTTTTTTAAATTAATTTTCTTAATTAACTCAAATCGTGGCCCATTAGGACTCCCGTTCTGCGTCGCACAGTTCTGTGGGTTGACAAATGCATGATGTCACACACCCACCATCAGTGAATTACCCAGAACAGTTTCTTCACCCTAAAAATCTCCTGCACTCCACCTTTTCTTCCTGCCTACACTCCCAAAAAAGCCTCATTTCTCAGACTCAGAGATAGAGAATCCCATGGCCTGTCCGGGATCCACAGCAAGAGAAGCAGGGCCTGGAACAGGGTCTCCACACCTCTTCCTTCCTCCAACTTCTTTTCCTGTATGCTTCCCCCACCCTCCCACACCCCACCCCTCAATGTGCCAGAACTTTCCACACATTCCTCCCTTGGCTCCATAGCCCTTGACCCCACCCCTCGGACACACACGCAGGCCCAGCTCACCGGGAGGCCCTGTTTGATGTTGAGCAGCAGCGTCTGAACCTCCTGCATGTACTTCCAGGACGGGTGGCCCTCGAGCAGCACCTCCTGCACCGMCTCGGTGGCACTGAGACTCACCAAGACCCACAGATACCGCTGCTCCTGCTYGCTCACCCGCGCCTTCTGCTGCAGAGACAGGAGAAAACTCTGGAACCCCCCAATGTGGGCTGCTCCACTGTGACCCTCCTCCAAGGACTTGTCCCTGCATGAAACTGACCACAGGGGTCTACAATGGATATCGGGCAACCTCGGACCTGGGTCAAGGGTGGGCTCACTTGAGGGACTGATGAAAGGYCCCTGGACAACAGCAGGACCTGCCGAGACCAAAGTGCCCCTCAGGCTGGGGTCCACAGGGGATCGCAGGAGGTGGGGGTCTCGGCAGCCCGGGAAGGGATCCTCACCAGCCTGGTGATGTTGGCGATCCTGAGCACCCCCTCGTAAGGCACGCCGATCCTGTAGTTGATGGGGAAGTAGTGTTTCTAGAGAGGGACGAACCAGGAGGTCAGAGGCAGAAACCRCACAGACAGGCTGCCCCAGCCCAGGTGCATGCCAGCGCAGGGGAGGCCCGCACCAGAGAGCCCCCTGCCGGCACAGGACTCCTCTGAAGAGGACACATCCCTGCTCCCAACAGCACTGACACCAGCTCGCTTTCCTCTGGGACACAGGGAGGGTGAAACTAAACACATAGTTCCTGCTCAAGCTGAAGTTTGGGGCCCCGTGTAAGGACCCCCTACTTTAAGAAAGACATGTATTTTCGGGGTGAGAGGGATGTTCTACAACTTGCTGTGGTGGTGGTCGCCCAACTCTGTGAACACACTAAAAACCAAGGGAGTTATACCCTCTAAATGAGTGAATGGTAGGGCACGTCCACACTGCCTTCATAAGCTCTTTTTAAAAACAGAGTGGGCATCTCCACTCCCCAAAAAGAACCAAACATTCCAACTGGCAGGTCTTTGTCTCCCCTGCTAATAAGTGCCGGGGTGGGGGGTTCTCCCAGGGAGTTGCTGGAAATGCCCTGTGGCGGGGGTGGGGGGGGGGATCAAAGGTCAGGAGGGGGGTAAGCCCTGGGAGATGGCGGGAGGCGGCCGRTAAAGACCCCAGACACGTTGGTTCTGTGTTAGAGAAGGGAGCCCTGGCAACACTGGGGCTGACTCAGGTCCTAGGAGGGTCCCTGACTATCCAGAGCCTTGTGCCAGGTACACCATGGGGCTGGGGACAGGGGTACTGGTGGTGCCCATGTGGTTACCATGTACTGAAGCCGGTTCCTGTACTGCAGCTTGTCCCGAAGGAAGCCTGTGACGGTGCACTCCTTATTCTGGGTCAAGGGCCACACCTCCAAACCCTCATTCCCCAAGGCCACACCAAGGAGGATCCCAAGATCTGTGGACCATAGCCAACAAGARCACGTCAGCACCAGGTACCACGTCCACACTGTCCCCAGGGCCCAGCTGTGCACAACTGTCATCCACGTTCTTGGGTTATAAAGACACATAGGAGAGGTGGTGACAGATGCACAGACCCTGTCACTGAGGAAGACTTCCCACCCAGAACCCGCATGGTGTCCCTGGTTCTGGACCTCAGAAGAGCAAGGACAGGTAGGTGCAAGCTGTCCAGAAGGTGATCCACATCCCCCCCAMCCCTGGCCAGCAGATCCCCCAGGAGGCACTTAATCAAGGCCAGTCCCCAACTCCTGCCCCTAAACTTCCATAGAGGGCAACCTCAGCCCCTGGTGTCGGGGTGACACGTTTTCAAAGCCCATTGCTGGATTTCCATTCAGATGTGGATTCTAGTTCCAACTCTAAAAACCACGAGACCCAAGCTACGTTTTCCCCTCCTCTATCTGACCTTGGCATCCCTCATCATTAAGGGTACCAGTGGTCTCTGGCGTCTTCCATTTTGGTGACTCTGGGATCTCGCTCAGGCTGTTAGCTACAATGATTTACCAACATTACCAGCCTTGACCACTGGGGGGCACTGCGACCTCAAAAATAGCCTTTGTGATTTCTACCTAACTGAACAGACCCAATACCTGAGAGAATTTGCAATAAATAGGAGGGTAATTAGAGCAAAAAGAACAAAACAAAAAAGGGCAAGACGTTTCCAAAAGTTCAACCTCACAAATAAAATAAATAAACAATTAGATTACGGTGGCACACACCTGTAATGCCAGTGGCCTAGGAGGCTGAGGCAGGAGGAACACAAGTTCAAAGCCAGCCTCAGCAACTTAGGGAGGCCCTAGGGAAATCAGTGAGAACCTGTCTCTAAATAAAATATTAAAAGGGTTGGGGATGTAGCTCAGTCTTTAAGTTCCCCTGGGTTCAATCCCCAATATCAAAAAAAAAAAATTAGATGCCATTTTTCATCTAACAAAATAAAAAAATGTGTGGTAACACACACCTATAATAATCCTAGCGACTTGGGAGGCTGAGGCAGGAAAATTATAAGTTTGAGGCCAGCCTTGACAAATTAACCAGACCCCTGTCTCAAAATAATAATTACATAAGGGCTGGGGGTGTAGCTCAGTAGGTAAGTCTGAAGCCTTGGGTTGGTTCCCAGCATCACAAAAAAAAAAAAAAAAAAAAAAAAAGAAAGAAAAAGAAATGAAACAAAAAGATTTCTGTGTATTTGTTTTCTTTTAAGTAATATTTGATGCTGCCAAAGTAGTGAAGAAGGTGCTCTCATCCTAAAAGCAATTTGGCAAATGTTATTATTAATGAATTCAATAAAGTCCACACCCTTTGACCCACTAAAYTCAAAAATCAGAAGAACTAAAACAAGAAAAAGAGATGTAGACCAAAAGATTTATGGACTGCAGCRTTATTTTATAATAGTGAAAATCTGTAAACGACTAGGACATTCCATCATAATGARTGTTTCCAGTAAAAATCACATTGTTAAGGAATTATTATGATGTGTGATGAGAAAAATAAGATATGGATGGTGATGTTTTTGAAAAACATGACCCAACACTATCTGCATTCCCAGCAGGACTAGAATTTTATTTATACRTGTGTTTACAATTGTTTACATATGTGTTTGGAAAACGTGGTGGAAAGAAATGTACCAAATCTCTATGGGAGATTTTTGTGTTCTATATATTTTGTGGAACATTTTGCATGTTCTACAATCCATACCTATTATTATTAGAGTCAGAAGCAAAAATTTCTCCCTCTCCTCCTGCCCGCCCCATGAAGACAGCCAGGCTGAGTCACTTCCCTGACCCACCTGTTATGAGCAGGAATTACTGATTGGACTTTCCCCACTCACGTACTTCCTGGTACTTGGAAGACTTTTGTCCTTACATCCCCACTGGCCTGGGCCACTCTACCTGTTGGATCACTTCTCCCTCCTCCCTTTCCAGTCCCACCCTGCTGGGTCCTGCTCCAGGACTTTGCTCCTGTGGGACCCCTCACCAAGGGCACCTTCCCTCGGCTTGGCTCCTCAGGCCTGCTCATGGCCTGGGCCACACAGGGGCTTCAGGTGCCTGCCCTTCCCCTCCACGAAAAGTTGCCAGTGTGAAGTAATCCAACCAGCGCGCTTGCTCTCTTGCATCTCCCTGACATGGTATTGGGCCAAAGCAACAGATAAATGCAAACCTAGCCAGTGTTCGTGCCTTGAGATAGTAAGCCCTAAAAGCCTCTCAGCCTTGCACTGACTCCTGAAGCTCAAGATCTTGTGTCCCAGCTTTTGCTCCTGCTCTGCCTTGCTCTAGGGATCCCCTCACACTGCAGATCTCTTTAAAAGTCTCCCTGGGCTTCTTCCCTGACCCTAGGGTCTGCCCTGCCTATACCAGCCCCACCAGCCTCTGACTCCAGCACCACCTGCCTGATTCACTCACTCCCTGATCACAGCACTTCACCCTTGGTTTGTGAATCACCAGTGCTGTGGTCTCATTGACTGAGCGCGTTATGCCTGAGTTTGGGGATTGGCCTCCTGCAGTGGAAATGGGAGGGTGCATCTGAATCCCCTGGGGAGCCAGCCAAGGCTAGGAGAGCTCAGCACCCTCCCCCCCAATCCAGCAGGCCTGGGGTGGGGCCAGATAATTTGCCCTTGTAATCAGCCTTCAGGTGAGGCTTCGGCCTTTGATCTGGGCATGCACCTTAAGAACCATGGACCTAGAGCAACAGGTACAGGGTGGTGGCCCAAGGACCACATCTAGCCCACAGGGATTGCCCGTTAAAATCTGAATTGCCACCTTTCCTTTAAAAAACAGTGTTTCTGCAGGGTAGAGTGCCACACTCCTGTAATCCCAGTCGTCACTCAGGAGGCTGAGGCACCAGGATTGCAARTTTGAGGCCAGCAAGACCCTGTTCCAAAATAAAAATAAAAAAGGCTGAGGGGCTGGGGATGTGGCTCAAGCGGTAGCGCGCTCGCCTGGCATGCGTGCGGCCCGGGTTCGATCCTCAGCACCACATACCAACAAAGATGTTGTGTCCGCCGAGAACTAAAAAATAAATATTAAAAAAATAAAAAAGGCTGTAGGTGTGACTCAGTGGTAGAGTATCCTGGGTTAAATCCCAGTATCGAAATAAGGAAAGAAAGAAAGAAGTGAGAAGTGTTTCTAGCCTGACATAGTGGCATCCCCACCTGAGATCCCAGCAGCTCAGGAGGCTGTAGCAGGAGGATCTCAAGTTCAAGGTCAGTCTGGGCAACTTAGTGAGGTCCTAAGCAACTTAGGAAGCTCCTATCTCAAAATTAAAAAAAAAAAAAAAAAAAAGTGCGAGGGATGTGGCTCAGTGGCTAAGCGTCCCTGGGCTCAAATCCCAGGACCAAAATAGTGTTTCTGTCTACACTGCTTCTTCTTTCCCATGTGGCTGTCACTATGGGGAGCCCACTCCATTCCCAGGTCCTGCCCTGGAGCCTTCTGGCTCTGCTAACAGTGGCCTCAAAGCAGGGACTGGGTCTCAGAGGGCCACAGCAGCTTGGCCTGGCACAGCCGGGCACCTGGGCTGCCCTGGAAACCTCTCCCTGGACCACCTCCCTGCAGTCTGGGCAGCTTCTCCTCAGTCTTCAGGGGGCCCCATTTCTCATTTTAAACTTATTTTCTGTGGCCTCCACCCAGAGAAACAGGGAACCAAGCAGGGTTGGCACAGCCAAAACCTCAAGACCACTTGTCACCCCCACACTTTGTGCCCCAGGAACCACACAGCCAGGGTAGGCCTGACCCTGGTCAGGAGGCCCTTCCTGCTCCTCCTCCCCCCCCAGAGGTAAGGACCAGGGAGAGAAGCAGAAGCTGAAGGAGATGGGTAGAAGGAGCTTTCTCCTGGTTCCCTGGTCTGGGGGGTGGCAGGGGAGTCGGGGTCCCTGACCCAATCTGAGCCTAGGCAATGGGTTGAGTAGCATTTCCCCCAAAATTCATATTCACCTGGAACCTCGGAATGTAACCTGATTTGGAAACAGCATCTTTAGAACACATCCTGGATTTAGGGAAGGCCCCAGGTGTCCTGGTCAGAAGGAGAGGACCCGGACACACCCAGAGGGAAAGTCCACGCGCAGACAGAGATGAACTGGAGTGAAGCTGCCACAGAGAGGGAGCCCCAGGAGCCCCCAGAAGCCAGAAGAGGCGGGAAGGCTCCCCCCTGAGTCCTCAGAGGTAGCATGGCCCTGCTGATTCTGGCCCCAGAATCTGGTCTCCAGAATTATGAGAGTAACACTTGCTGCTGCCCAGTTTGTGGTCATATATCACAGCCGCCCAGCACCCCAGCATCCCAGCATCCCAGCCCCTCCACTGGGCAGCCGCTCCCCCTGCCCCTGCCTCTGCCCTCCCCTGTCGTCACCACCCACCGGCCCCTGCCACGCCCGAGATCTGCCTCCTGGGCCTGCTCCCCTCCACCTGGCTTCCCATTCCCACCTCCACCCCAGGACCTGAGAGTCGCTACCCGCTGCCCATAAGGTTGCAACAGTGACCCCAGATTCCTCAAAAGCAGGGGACTCCAACCGTGGCCCCCTCTGCCACCTTCCAAGGCTCCTTGTGGTCTGGTGAAGCGGGTGCTCTTCACCTGGCTTTCAAGGCCAACGCCACCTAGGCCCAAACCAGCTTTACGGCCCAGACTCTCCAGCCCCTCCACTGAGCTGCTGCCTGGAACTCGGTCCTCCCCACCCCGTCTGCCTTGCGGATGTCACCCAGCCTTCAAGACCACCTCAGGTGGCACCTCACCAAGCAGCTTCCTCTGCTCCTCAAGACCCGGAAGCTTCCCTAACACGGGGCCTGGCTGGGTCCTTCACCCATTCTGAATGTCCTGACTCTTTCCAGTGTCCCTCCACAAGGACCAGGGTGCCCCCAGCTCTTCTCTGAACCCCTCTGGGCTCCAGCCCCTGCCCCCATTTATTTGGCACACAGTCCCTGGCCACCTAACTCTGAACTGGGTGACAGAGGCTGAGGGGCACAAAGCAAATGAGGTCCCGTTGTCATGGCAAGTCACTCTCCAGTGGGCTCGGGGGTGTCACCAGAGAAATGTGCCGAATCAGAGTGAGTGACGCTGGGCCTGGGGTCTGGAGGGCTCCGTCTGGCCTCCACCCACAGGCCTGAGCGTCCTCCAGGACCTTTCTTGTCTTCTGTCCTCATTTCAACTTATTTTTTTCTTTCCACCCACCGCACCGGTATCGGCCTGCCTTTTGATCTTGGTGTTATAGAGTGAGGGGCAGAGGAGAGCCAGCTGCCTTCTCCAGGTGCTGGACACACAAGTCCCATGTGTCTTGGGTCCCTGGTCCCCACCCCACCCCTGCTGGCCACACCCAGGAGGACAGCAATCCTCTCTCCACACCCTCTGCCCCTGCCATGTTCCCCAGCACCCATGAGTCAGTCCACAGAGATGCTGCCACCCACCCCAGCACCTGCCCCATCGTCTAGCCACTCACCGTGCCACCCAGTGCCCACCCTACCTGGGACTCCCGTCCAGCTTGCCTGCCTGAGCCTGGGGTCATCGACAGGCAGGGTGGCTGTGGAGTCCCTGAGACTACCTGCAGCTGAGCTGGGGAGCATCCCAACTTCTCCCCAGCAGGGACGTGCTGGTTGCCGTGGCTGTGGCTGAGCCCTCTCTGGATCAAGGCCTCCCGGAGTGGGTCCCTGGGTACTCACAGCGCAGCCAGGTGAATCCCCGGGGCATGGTGGTGCACTGGCTTCCCCAAGAGCAGAGGTGCTGTCCCCAGCAGTGTGTCCACAGGAGCCTGAGCAGGGCCTACATGGCCACGTGTCAGAAAAGGTGGCCACCGAGTCAGGAAAGGGCTGTCCCCAAAGGAGGTGCCAGGCAGCAGGGATCAGGCAGGTGCTCCTGGGGCAGCAGCCTGCCTATCTGCCTGGCAGTGAGGAGGACAGCTGGGGGGCGGTGGCTGCCAGTCCCATGGCAGCCCAGGAGCTGGTATGAGATAGCAGTCTCCCTCGGGGTCTTCCTTCCCGAAGAGGAGGAGGAGAGGAGGAGGAGGAGGAGGAGGGGGAGGAGAGTCCCCAGCAGGCCCCTTGGAATCTGGGGCTGGGTGGCGCTTTCTGGCGCTTTCTCTGATTCCTCCGACTGCAGCTGCTCAGTGTGAGATCCGGCTCTGGAAAAAGAAGGAGGAGAGAAAGTGATTATGTAAGAGCAGGGCTGCCACTCAGCCACAGGCAGGCACAGAGGACCCACCGCGAGCGCAGCACCGGCCCACGCCACCGGGACTCCCGGGTCGCACACAAGAACCGACTTCAGGACTCCCGAGCGGCGGCCCCAGCCCAGGAGTGAGTTACGATGACACCAGCTGGCAGCCTTGGGCAGGAACAAAAGCCGACCTCGGAATGCATGGGCAGTGTGGGCCGGCACCCAGGAGAGGGGGCTGCCCGGAGGAGGAGGTGAGACTCCCGCTGAAGCTGGGGGTGACCCGGCTGCAGGGGAGGCTGAAGAACACATGGCTCAGTCACCCTCCTCACCTCCTGACCGAGCCCCTCCTATATCACTCCCATCTCCTCCCCCTGCCCGGCAAAATACGATGGTCCAGTTAAATCTGAATGTCAGATAAGCAAATACTTATCCCAGTCTGATTGTGTCATGCATGATTTTTTAGCATAAGTATGTCCCAAATATTGCCTGGGACATACTTGTGTTAAAAAGTATTCATTGTTAGCCGGGTGTGGTGGCTCACACCTGTGATCCCAGAAACTCCCGGAGGATGGAGCAGGAGCATTGCCAAGTTTGAAGCCAGCCTCAGCAACTTAGGGAGGCTGTAAGCAACTTAGCAAGACTTTGTCTCAAAATAAAAATAATAAAAAGGGCTGGGGATGTGACTTAGTAGTTAAGCGCCCACACACAAAAAGTATTCACTATCTATCAGCAATTGCAATTTCAAATTAATTGGAAGTCATATATAGGTGGTGTGGTGTGTGTGTAACTAGATTTGGCAACCCTGTGATAACACCAGAGCCCTAGAGCTCTCTTCTTGAGAACTCAGTGTGTGTGTGCTAGACCCAGAGCTGAGGACATTTTTCATCAAATCTTCAACACYACTTAATGAAACCATAAAAATCTTATTTTACCCATGAGGAAATTGAGGCCCAGAAAGGTTAGGGCATTTCCCCAAGGCCACACAGCCTGTCAAAAGTGACAGGAATTCAAACCTGGCCCACTGGTAGTCATTCTCAGAACTCGACACCCACAGCGTTCTCATAGAGTTACCTGTCCGTCCCTCACTGGGCTCCGTAAGACATGGTCTGGGTCTCCATGTTGTAGGTGAGGCTGAGGTGCCCAGTAGCTGGGCTGGCTCTGCAATTCAGTCTCTGAGCAGGTTCTATTCCATCGCCATGTTCTTCCCTGTTCCCCCTCTGGTCAGGGGAAAGGGCCACAGGGTGAGGGCTTGGGGGGAAAGATGGTATGATTCGGGGGTCTTCTCTACTGTGGCATCTAGAGCMTGGACCAGAAACGCTGGCCCTGGGCTGGGGCTGGGCTCAGCAGGAAGCCCTGGCCGAGCAGGCACCAGGCCCTGGGGTGATCCCCAGCCCTGAAGAGACAAACCAAAGAAAAAGAGCCAGCCCTTGCCCTTGTGGCTGGATTGCTGTCCTCCCTGGGTGTGGCCAACTGGGACCGTCCTTTGGTAGAGCGCGGACCCTCCACCCATCTCTCCCCTCCACCTCACCCTGGCGATGTCCCTGCTATCACGGTGTCCCTGCCAACTAGACTTTCAGTTGACATTTTTCCAGGTTTATGGAGGTAGGACTTACATCCGTAAAATTTGCCTTTTTTTAGTGTATGAGTCAGAGAGAGAGAGAGAGAGAGAGAGAGAGAGAGAGAGAACGAGAGCGCGCACGCAGTGCTAGGGACTGAACCCAGGGTCTCACACATTCTAGGCAAGCGCCCTATGCTGAGCTACACCCCTAGCCCTTTTTCTTTTTTTATTTTGAGACAGGGCCTCACTAAGTTGCCCAGTCCAGCCTTACACTTTCAATCCTCCTGCCTCGGCCTCCTGGGTAGCTGGGATTACAGGCCTGCACCACGCACCCGGCTAAAAGTTTATAACCACCACAGTCACAAAGTGGAAAACACTTCTGTTCCTGCAGAAGCCCCTCCGACTGTCCTGCAGGGAGCCCTCCCACCTCAGCACTGGGCAGGGACCCATTTGTTCCCTGCAAGCACTTTTCCCACAGAATGTCACRCAGTTACAATTCTGGGGTGCGACCTTCTGCATGTCACTTCTCTCTTGTGGCATGCTGCACTTGGGGTTCTCCATGTTTTTGTCGTTGTTTCTTGGTACCAGGCATTGAGCCCAAGGGCACTTAACCACTAAGCCACATCCCCAGCCCTTTATTTTGGAGACAGGGTCTCCCTGAGTTGCTTAGGGCCTCACTAAGTTGCTGAGACTGGCTTTGAATTTGAGATCCTCCTSCCTCAGCCTCCCAAGTCACTGGGATTATACAGGTGTGTGCCACYGCGCCTGGCTGCCATGTTGTTACCTGCATTAGAAATCCTCTTTTGGGGGGCTGGGGTGGTGGCTCAGGGCTACCACTTGTGCTTGCCTAACATGTGTGAGGCACTGAGTTCAATTCTCAGCACTACATATAAATTTAAAAAATAAAGATCCACTGACGACTAAAAAATATTTTTATAAAAGGAGGCTGGGGTTGTAGCTCAGTGGTAGAGCGCTTGCCTAGCACAGGTGAGGCACTGAGTTCGATCCTCAGCACCACGTGAAAAAAAAAATAAATGAATAAAATAAAGCTATAAAAATGTATGTATTTTAAAATACATATAAAAAAAAGAGAMATCTCCTTTTTCCTTGCTGAGCAGTTTGTACATTGTGTAGCTGGATCACTGTTTGCTTCCCCTCCATGGAAGGGCATCTGGGTTGTTCCCAGTTTGGGGTGACAGGGAATAAGAGCCCTGCAGGTTTCTGTGTGGATGGCCGCGTCTGTCTCTCCTAGGCCTACCTGTCGTTTCAAGTCGTGCACCGCGGCCCTTCAGAACACCTGCCACCCGAGTGCCACTCAGGGGCCTGGGCCGCTCATCACCTCTGAGCACCCCTCAGCTCTGCTGTGCCCAGGACGGTGGGTCCCAGAGCCCAGACCTCCCCACACCCAGGCACACACCACTCTCAGGATCTTTGCCCTGTCCTGGTCCCGCAAACTCTTTGGGCAGACTCCCCATCAGAAAGGCTCCAACGTGGAACCCTGCCTGCRTCCTGGCTGAGAAACCAAGCAAATGAGAAATGGAGCCCTGATCAGCTTCTTGGCACAGCTGTATCAAGTCCTGAGCCTGAGCACCATCTGTGGTCCCACCCCTGTGCCCCCGGACATGGAGGGGGCGAGTGGGAGAGCCCAATGAGGCCACCAAGTAGGAGTTACGAGTGACAGAAGCCAGACCCAGGCTGAGGGGCACAGCGGGAACCTAGGCCGCTGGGAGAGGCTGGGACAGGTGCGGCCCAATGGCTTGGGGCTCCTCTCTGGCAAATGAGGCCTAACCAAGGGCCTGGGAGCTTGACTGTGGCCTTCCCCACTCTGGGAGGGCCCAAGCCTGCCCTTGGTCTCTCTGTCTCTTTCTTTTTCTTACTCTYTCTCTCCCTCCGTCCCTCCTTCCGTGTCTGTCTGTATGTCTCTCTCTCTCTCTCTGGGGTGGGGAGGGGAGTGGGTGAGGAGTTTGGAAACACTGCGCCTCTCCTACCCCACCCCACTCTACCCCWGGGGCCTGTAGCATCATTCAGAAGCTCAGGCAGGGAAGAGTTGTGCTAGAAAGTAAATGAGGACATAGTATTCTTCATMGTTCAGCCATGACGAGCATTTTCAAAGCTGCAGAAGCAAGTACAAAGTGAATATTCATTTCRCCCACTTATGACTTAAGGACGCTGGGAGGGCCGGGGTCAGAGAGAGGGAAGGTATGTGGGGAAGGAAGGGTGACAAGAACGAAATCTTCCATGGCAGAAAGTCAACAGATAAGGGCTCAGATGAAGAAGCAGTGGCGAAAGACTGCTTTCTAGAAAAAGGATAGATGGTTGATAGATAATGATGATAGATAGATAGATGATAGATAGATGGATAGATAGATAGATAGATAGATAGATAGATAGATAGATAGATAGATAGATAGATAGATAGATATTTTTAAAAGTTCCCTGTGTCTGGAAGCAGAAAGAGGCCTGCTGTTGTTTATAATATCACACCGAACTATTTTATTCTTTTGCTTGGGGGGATTATTTTTTGTTTGTTTGTTTTTATTTGTTTGACTGATACTGAGGCTTGAACCTAGAGGTGCTTTACCACTGAGCTGAATCCCCAGTCCTTTATTTATTTATTTTAAATTTCATTTTGAGACAGGATCTCACTAAGTTGCTTAGGGACTTGCTCAATTGCTCAGGCTGGCCTCAAACTTATGATCCTCCTGCTTCAGCCTCCCAAGTCACTAGGGCTACAGGCATGAGCCACTGGGCCYGGCTATTTCTTCTTTAATTCAGGTGCAGACATAACTTGGATTTTAAATTTTTTTTCAACCAAATTTAAAACAGTGAATTTCTGTGCTGGACCTGTGTTGCCATGTCCAGCCATGTTGGGCCTCAAGGACCTGTTCACCTTGGGACATCATTGCCCCTTCTTTCCATAGCTACCTGCTTTGGTTCTTCTGTCCCCTGCCTGAGAACCAAGACCACCCCCAGAGAGGGAGCAGTGGAACCCCATTTGGAGTTGTGAGTTTAACTCTAAAGCCTGGTCCCCAACCTAGAAGAGAAGAGGACACACAG